TAGTACAGGAAAGTTGTTAAATTTCTCATCACCTTGTGAAACCAGGTCATGTTGCTAGATACACTCACTTTACTTTTTCAACCAAGAAATCAATTTTTAATGGGTGAGCTATTGGCCCCAAGGAGGAGAAAAAAAAAAGCAAGACTTCCCTACAAAGACATTATTTGTTTTGAATGATATCTGAGTTACTTAAATTTTTTTCCAGTGTAATACAGCATGTATTTTCCTCCCTTAAATCATGCATGCAATGAAAGAACTTTCTCAATTTTATTGTATGCAAAATGTGAAAGAGAGTTAGGATATAATATAAGATATGGCTTTTGTCCAAAAGAAATTACGTTCTTAATGAATGCTATCCTGTTTCCATGTCTGTCTATAAAATTATGAGACTGTACTTCTTTTAGAAATGTTCCTGAGTTATTGCTGCTATGGTGGATGTATTTCAATTATGCAGTGATTTTGGCCTCTGCTGGCATTCTGCAAAGTTATTTGTTACTTCTGTCAACTTCTATTTCTGATGCTGCTGCTCCCATAAACAAGTTGACTTGGATTATGAACCTCTGTATGGTTTGTGTGATTTGCATGTTTCAGAAAACTGTTGTTCTGGCTTATGTTTTGGTACTGTGTAGTTATCTCTCTGAAAGTCATTATGATTGCTTGTATTTGACATCCTTCCTAGAAATTGTTCTAAAACTGAATTTTTCCAAGTTTAGACTAGAATCAGAGTAAATATGTTTGTTTATTTATTTACAATCTTTTCTCCCATGTGCAATCAGATGGTTGGAAAACATCTGCTGCTCCTACTCAGGTTTTTGATCTCATCAGTTTGCTAACTAATCTTTTGGTTCAACAAATTCATCTTGTTTGTTCTTATCTGTAGTCACTTTTTCATGTAAAAGTCATTATAATTTATTTTCATACTGGTTCTCCATCTTTTTTGAAAGATCAATCTTCAGTGCCAAAAATGATGGAAAAAAAAAAAAAACATTAGTTACCCGTTTTGGGACTTCTGTGTATGTTCTACAGATGTACAAATCCTCTTCACTGTCTTAAGAACGTTAAGGTTATGAAGTCAAGCAGTCTGTAATGAGGAGAAATAACTTTTGAATCTGGCTGGTGCTTGTAGCAATTAATCTACTCTTTGTACATGCATTATCTTAATTCTGTGTCAGATAGTAGCTGTACAGCAATAAAAATACTGCTTTGACTTTGCTCAGTGTTTAGCTTGCAGCAAATAGCTTTTCGTAAATTTTATGCTGCTTCAGGAAAAGATACAGCGAGCATTTGTACAAAGTTGTATGTTTATGTGATCAGCTTGTCAGTTCACAGGACTTTTGATACCTTTCTGTTCCTTTCAGTATCAGCATTCATTCTCTATCATTCATTCATTGCAAATCATCTCACCTGAGAAATAACAGACACAGGGTGGAACACAGGGACGTAACAAAAAATCTTGTCATGTAATGAATGCCTGAAAAATGTATTGAACTGAGGCAGTACGTTGACTCACATTTCCTAAATTTGGAGGTTTTGATTTGGTAATATTTCTGTCTTTATATGAAGTCAGGATTTTACCAGCTTCATAGTGTTTCCACAGCTTCCCCATCTTTTCACGTAATACCACTAACTCCAGATTTAAAGTATATGAGGAAGTTTTTTGGAGGAAGGAAAACGAGGACCTTTGTTTTGTCAAAACGGAGTTTATTCCTTGTGTCATAATTGCCTCATAAGTTTACTGCCTCTGACATCTGTTAAATAGAAACCTAGGAAGGGTCTCTTTCATTGCCTTATGCCAACTTAGGTGCATAGAGAAATTGTATCAGGGATGCTGAGTGGTGTGCTTTGTGCTAGGTGTGCCCCTTCTATCTCGCCCACCAGCGGGTGATGGGTGAAACCCTCTGTGTGCTGCTGTGTAGCTTCCACTCGCCTCTGAACAGAAACTTGGTAGTAACTAGGGTTGTAGTTGTGCTATGCTGGGAAATTGATTAGAGAGAGAAATCTTAACATTGGCAAGTATTGAAGATGCGGGCAAAAAAAGTTTTGCTACTTCATGTGATTGGCTGATTGAGATGGGTGAGCTCTTTGGAGCCATAGCTTCTAGGAGATGCTCTCGAGGCCACCTGTGCCAAGGATGGCAGAGAGGGTATTGGCACAGAGGGTGAACAGCAGAAGCATGGTAGGGTGGTCTCTGAAGCTACTGAGACCAGTGTCCTGGGAGAAGAGGTGATGAATAATAGGAACACTATTCCTGAAACTGCTTTGTTCTTTGATAAAAATTTTGTTCACAAATGCCTCCATGTGCTTACTCGTTTTGGGACCTCTTCTATATTTTCAATTTCATGTTCATGCATTGTGTGTGTTATACCTCATTCCTATTGTTCTGAATTTCAGAAAATATCCCCTCAACTTCCATAACTTGCTTTACTCTTTAAATGTGTAAATTTGTGACACAGTAGGTGATTTGGTAATCTACTGGTGACATGTGATTTGTAAATAATTGGGGAGGAGGGGAACACGACAGCTTTTCAACTTTTATTATGCCTAGAAATTGCTGTAAATCCATAAAACCTCAGGGATGAAATCTTATCTATTATAATTTTCTTTCCATTTCTGCAAGATCTTTTTCCCATAGAGTATGAACATCTTTAGAGAGCCAAAGTACAGTGGCAAGTATGGGTATTAGAATGTAATATATGTGTTCAAACACTAACCTGTTTAGATTTGTATAGAGATAATTGTCAATTTTTCTTAAAATACTATCTGTTATCTTAAAATTATGTGAAGCAACAAACGTTTCAGAAAGACAAACCTTTCAGGAAAAGGCTAATGAAAAACGGGGAAGAAGTCATTAAAGCGGTAAAATGTCCAGTACAAGTACCATATATGCAAGCGGTGAACATGCTATAAGGAATTCTAGTTGCTTCCAAGGTTTCTGAAGCTTATAAAAAATATTCATGTTATTTCAGCTGGGAAGTTTTGAGATTCCTTCTGTCTAATTTGAGAATGTGGATTGAAGACTATCGCTTTGATGGCTTCCGATTTGATGGTGTTACATCTATGTTATATCACCATCATGGGATTGGTAAGTAATTTAATCAACTCTAATCTGAGCAATCCTGTTGCAGCTGTGTTGCTGTGGAAATAGTGCTGTAAAAGTTCAGTGAATGTTCAAAAAATTATAGACTTGTAAGTATCTTGTTGTGCTGCTATATGGATAGGTCTGAAATGATGAATAAATTTGGTGCTTATAAATTTGCATAATATCTGTTTGTTTTTGTTTTTTTTTTTTTAACTACTGTGGCCTTTAAAACTTCCTGTCTTACTAGGCACAGCATTCAGTGGAGATTACAATGAGTATTTTGGCCTACATGTGGATGAAGATGCTTTGTGTTATCTAATGCTGGCCAACCACATGATTAAGTTCTTGCATCCGGAATGTATAACCATAGCAGAGGTAAGATCAGGATTTGCCGTCTTCAGTGACATTAATATTGATTAGTTTGCTTTGAGATGTGAATTTCCTTTTAATTATCAAGTCACACTTCGGGCACTCAAGGAGTGACAGGAGCTGAGAAATATTAATTAGTGGACAGTCTCTGCCTTGTGGGGAAAAACAACTGGAATATGCACTTTGGGAATTTTCTCTGCATTAATGGATCATTAATTAATGTGTGGGTTTCTTTTTTTTTTCCTTTCATCTCCTTGAACTTGTAATGAGATGTGTTTTTATTCGTTTATTGCTTTTGCATGATTGCCATTTGCCACTGGTGATTCATAGTACTAAAGATTAACAGCCCTAGTGTGGTTTTGCGTGTTTTGAATTATATTGGCATAGACAATTCCCCTTCAGAATAAGTGTGATATATTTATAAATGTTGAATGTGTATGCTAATTTAAATTTTATATTAAGTTTCTCCACATTTCTGAGGGAGTAAGTAGACTATATTACTTGAGTTGATAGAGATCAATTAAACTTTTTTGCCTGAAAAATGTTATTGTTGGCACATGGAATTTTTAATAGTATGAAACACCAGAGTATTAAAGTTCTGTGAACAGGTATGTTTTCACTGGTATTTTTTCTCTATCTAAAAAGAAATTAATGTGAACCTGGAGGATTTTTCTGTTACTATGTTTAAATAATTATTTTTGTTTAAAAAACAAGTTGCATTTATGTGTTAACATTAGCGACTATACAGATGTGTAATAAAACTTTTTGTATTGCATAAGCGTTCCCTACTTATCTTCATAAAACAAAATACTGCTTAATTTAATTTCTTATTTATGGTAAAGTTTTATATTATAAACAACCACTTCTAAAAGCTTAATAACAAGCTATTGAAAACAGCATCTAATGAGCAATTACTAGTAAACTTGAGATGGTTTTATTGAGCTATAGGCTTATTTGAAGTGAAATTTGTTCATTTTCTAGGAAGTCTTAGATGATAAGCATTCCTACCAATGAAATTCTGACTTCAGTCTGCTTTGTATTACCTGGCCTAAGACTTCTATGATTCTATGATTCTTTTTTAATAAGAAGTTTCTTCAGTTTCTCTTGCTTGAGTTGAAAACTGCTTCTGTTTCAATACATCATTTTTCTGCCCGGGGTAGTCGCTACATGAAATACTGAATTGATTCAGTGTGCTGCATGGTTAAAGGAGAGTTTCAGAAGGAGAAACTATTGACATAATTGAAAATTACAAAAGGCAATGAAGAATGTCGGCTTGCCTATAATAATGACAGAATGAGTGCCACATGAGAAAAATGTTTTTGCCTAGCCATAAATAATTATGATATATTCCTTAATTATTTAACTGGTAATTTTTGCAGCTTCTTAATATACTGTATATTCACTGTCTTAGTAATTTCTAAGTTTTTAGGCATTACTGGCTATATGTTTATTTTTCATTTTGACCTTCTAAATAAAGCTGTGATTCAAGTTTTGTATAATGATAAGAAAAAAGTTAGCTAGAATTATATCATGCCGAAGCACCCCAACTGCTGTGATTTCTTTCTTTTTTTTGTATGCAGCTCATTTCAAACTAAGGTCTGAACAAATGCTTAGGCATCCGCTGTTCACATTTGGTGGAAAATATATTGAGCAAACTAACACTGGATTTTTGTTGTGTTCAGATGAAATGTGTAGATATGAATAGTATTAAATTTGGAATTTTACTTCCCAAAAATCTGGCTTTCAAAATTATAACTAAAGTAGGTGGGAGCTGCTTAAATCTTGGACTCAGACCTTGTCCAGGTAGGCATCATAGCATCACAGAGACAGGGTTTTATTTCAGATGATCTTGTCCTATGTAACTTGAAGAACATTGGTATGTTTTTATCCTTTCTGACCTATTTAGGAGAGCTATTCAACTTCCTTTTATAATATCTACAGGTTTGGTAAGAATTTCCACTCTATTATTTGGTATTCACAGAATGTGGATGCATTTTCTGTTAATGACTGCTGAGTGATGATGTGATCAGTCTCTTCACTTACGTCAGTATGGGGGGAGGAGGAGTGAATGCATGTGTATGTATAATTTCAAGTGCAAATATATTTTTCCCTAGTCTAATGCAGCAATTGGATTGAAAACTGGATTGAATCCAGGAGACCAGAATGAGCATCCAAATTAAGCCCTGGTTCTAGTCAGAATTTAAATCCATAAATTCTCTTGTGTAGCTATAAGAAGTGTGTGTTAATACATAGCCATTGGGGTGGAATGGCTTCTTGCTCACATAAGTTAATAAAACTGAGTACTGATAAATATTTTTCAATTATTAGAGATATGCATTTTCTATATAGATATGCTAACTTAAGAAAAAGAATGCTGTGTTGTGTAATTGCCTAATAAAATGGTGAAATAAATATTTTAAGAACTTTGAATTACAAACTTAAGAATGATCAGCCTTCATCAATATGAAACTGGAGAAATATGTAGTAAGATCATGTCACGCTTTCCACGGCTAGCTGGTTCAATAGTTTGGGTTTTGTGCATTTAAGAAAAGAGTAGAGATGGTATTTTTCTTCCTTACCGTACTTTATATTCAATCTTTTATTTTTATGCCATTCTTTATGCAAAATATCAATAAACAAAATGAAGGTTTAATTTGTCTTTTGTTGTCAACTTCCTATTGATTACTTGGAGCTCAAGAGAGCTAATTATTTCAAATTCTCCATCTACTGAGGTCTCTTCATCCTCAAATATCTACTTTATTAAAATATTGCATAGTAGAGTATTTGAAGAGAAAATCATAATGCTTTTCTCTTCCCAGTGGCTTTTGCAGTCAAACAGCAAATCTCACTGATTTTTTTTTTTCCCTCCCTTAGCCAGGTCCATCTATGAAGCTGTTTATAGTCTACAGTGTTTGTATAGAAGTATTACTGTATGATAGAAAATCTAAACTAATAATTGCAATGCTATGCAAATGATGTTGTGGGTTTTTTTATTTATGAATGCCAGCTCTTTGTCGTCCTGTTGCAGAGGCAGGAGGGGGTTTTGATTATCGACTAGCCATGGCTATTCCAGATAAATGGATACAGGTGAGAACTTCTTTAAAAATGTGTTCTGTCCTTCTAAATGGAGTATTTCTCTATCTGTGCATACACAATTATTACTGGCAAATTTTACTCTCTCTTCTGTTAACGTCCTATTAAAATAAATTCTGACAGGCTTGAGCACCGGTATTAGTGGATGAAATGAGAGCTGTCAGATATCACGCAGGTATTAGAAGATGAATAAGGTCAGGGGCTGTTCTTTGCATTCTGATATTTGTTTTCTTTATACATTACAAATAGACTAATTTCATTGGAAATAACCTGTATCTTGCAACAGCTGTAGAATTTGTAGTCTGTATTAAATGTGAACAAGTAAATAATAAGTTAACCATATGAATATAAATATGTAAAAAAACCCACCAAACCCTTGCAGTGAACCCTCCTGAAATTCGGCATAGTACTTTACATTGAATGTAGAGCTGAAAGTTTAACCGAAGTAAATGGAAGTGAAGCACCAGCATTGGTACAGTGCGCTTACAAAAAGAATAATAAAAATCTTTAAATGCTCTTCAAGAACAATAATATACTAGTAAAATCCTGACTATGATAAGGATTTAAATCACCTTTTTGTTAATACAGAGAATCACAAGAAAAGGAATAAAACACTAAATGATCCGAAAAGACTTCTACTGATGTTTTAAAGAATGTTTTTCAGTTAGATATAAGATTGCATCCAAATCCCTCAGGCTGTCATGATGATCTGAAAACAATAAATGTTTTATATAAGCATTAATGCATCAATAAATGTAGTTAGTAGCTTAAAATAAAAAGTAGATTAACTTATCTTCAGCATCTTTCACTTTTGTAACTAGAAGGTTTCTAGTTTGGTTTTTTGGGTTTTTTTTTAAAAAAGCTGTTTAGTAGTACACGGCCAGTTACAATGAGAATCTTAGATTTTAGGGCATCATGTTATCCATCTTGATGCTATTGCCTTTTAATCACCTTTATTTTAATGCTTGTATATTTATGTATATGTATTTAAGCTGTAGTGATCAATGGAGGTATATAAAGTTCTACAGAAAAAAAAAAAGACTAACACTGAAATTGGACTAGGTGTAGAAGAGAGAGGAAATACTGTCATATGAGGCAGAAAATTCCTATTGATGTGATGCAATTTAAATTCCTAAAAATCAGGAGCTAGCATAACAAAAAAAAAAAAAAAAAAAAAAAAGGTAAAGCTCGTTTTGTATTCCAAAGCTTTGATATTCATCTGGTGGATTGGAATGGACCAGAAATTCACAGATCAGGGAATGTACAGGTCCCCCTGCTATGCACCTTCTCCTGTTATTGTGTACTTCATTGCAGTAGCATATCTTGAAGTGATCTGTTCTCTACCACACATCCCAGTGCTTCAGCTATAGTTGGGAGCTGCCATATGCCAGAGTTACTTGAAATACAGGACTTCGTTCAATACATAGATGTGTGTGCCCATGTATTTTTTTTTTCCCCAGTTTTTGATGCAGTGCTGTCTTGCAGCTCCTGGCAATCTCATTGCCCACTGTATAAGAGGATTCATGTGATGGATGACAAGTTCAATTGGCCATGTTTATATGTAGAAATACAGGAGAAACAAAATGTTCTAGTTACTGTATTTATGTAGTGGAATTCAAAAGAAAGAAATCCTTTCAAATTATCGGAGGAGGATCGTTGCTCCAAAGTTGGGAATAGGAGAATTTAAAGTAATACTGTTAACAATTCATTGGAAATTTCTGTGCCAAGACAGTGAAGAAAGGTAGTAATGTGCTTTTAGTTAAAACAGAATTTATTTTGCAATGATATTTTCTTTATTTCTGCAGATAATTAAGGAGCTGAAAGATGAAGACTGGAATATGGGCAATATTGTACATACATTAACAAATAGACGATATGAGGAAAAGTACATTGCATATGCAGAGAGCCATGATCAGGTATTGTATCTCTTTGCTTACATTTCAGCAAGTAAAATATGAGGTTTAGAGCCTTAGTCGGGTTTATTTTTTTTGAAATTTGAGGCAGAAGTTGAGAAAGATAGGCAACAATTTCAGAGATAGGTAGATCTGGACTACTCATTTTTTTCAGTGTGGCTGGGGGGGGGGGGGGTGGGAGGGTGTTCTTGTGAGTTTTTTGTTTTGATTCTTCTTTTTAATAAGGGAATCCTGCCTAGAGTGGATGGGTGTTGTTATTTTTCCAGGGTGTGGTGTTTTGGTTTTTTAAGAAACAAGTTCTAGCTGCTAGTTTTGCCTGCCTCTCATAGGACATAGGAAGGTGTATAATCCATACTTTTGAAAATCTGGTTTCCATAAAGTGGGCTGGAGCACTATTTATAATAAGCATAAATAGTATCACAATTGAGCAAATTTGTTCACTGAATCGGTGTTTGCAACTATTGTATTCCCTTCAAGAAAACGTTTTCTCTTTGAAAGGATTGCAAACAGCAATCCTCTTCAGAGATCTGAGTGAAGTGTTCTTTAACAGTTTGATTCAAAACACCGCAGTTGTAATGGTTCTGTGTATAGAAAAATGAAAAGGTAATGATGAGTTTGGATAAGACGCATCTCCGACAATCTTTTGTAATGTTTTTTTTTCTGAAGAATCAGAAAATGCATTGGTTGAGAATTTTAAAACTAAGAACTTTAAAAAATATAATCAATTTTCTTGTAAAAGAAAGACTCTTTCCTCTACATAATAAAGGCTGACATTCTATTTCCTGTACCTTCTATAATAAAAGTCTGCATAAGTGTCCAAAACCAGACCTATATTTTATTTTAAATAGAGAAGTCTGAGTTTATCAGCTTCCTTTTCTGTACCTATTTACATTCTTATCTCTGACTGTTACACAGCGTTCACTTAGGGCAAGAGAGAAGAGTCCCAATCCTGGTAAAGAACTTCAGGTGTTACATTGAAATGCATATCATTCTGTGATTGTGTGCTTTTATAAAACCTGATTCTTCATCCTAAAGCATGACATATAACATTACTGTTCCTGTTCTTTTATTTCATGCTGGATTTTATCAATTGAGTTGTTTTCCACATCTCTGTGTATTTTTGGTTTAGAATCTCATACTTTGAAAAAAAATCTATTGATTTTTAATTAAAAAAAAAAAAAAGAAAAAGAGCTAAGTATGATGATTGCAGGTGGACACCAGGATGATATGTGAAAAGCAGGACAGAGAAACAAAATGGGCATGTAGATAAAATTCAGTGTGGATACTTGAAGTGATGCACATGAGGGTCTGAAACAATTCCAGTTTCTTCTGTGTAATAAAGGGCTACGAGTTGACTATTATCAGTCAGAATACAGAGCCTTATGGTTATAAAAAGTGTATGAAAATAGCCACTCAGTGCTAATAGCTGTCAAAAAGCAGATACAATTCTTGGAATTATGAATGGAATGGAGAGCAAAGAGCAAAATCAGTATGCCACTGGAGTCTTTCATGGTTTGTGTGCATCTTGAATGTTGGAGGCAAATTTCATCCTGTTTTCTCAAAGGATAACTGGGAAAAAATCAGTGCGAGTGTTGGTAAGAATAATAGCAGGTGTGGATGGTTTTCATGAGAAGAGAACTGAATAGACTAAGACTTCTGGGTAGAAAAGAGATCATGGGAGGGGGAAGGATAACAGTTTATAAAATTATGACTGGCATAGAAAAAACATGAATAGGGAACATTTACCTTATCTTCTAATGGAAAGATTAGGGGACATTAAATGAGACTAACAGATGCCACATTCTAAGTCCAGAGAAGAGTTGTTCGTTGCAGTCTTCATTCTTGCTATTGTCACATAGGGATTTTTTTTAGAGATTATTTTTTACTTGGGGGAATCATCCATGTATGCTGTTACATTGTTGGAAAACTAAAGGATGAAATTTCAGCTAGACCTGTTTACAACTCACCTGTCTCTCTGGAATCTAGTGAGTTTTCATGCTAGAGTATAAAATGAGAATTGGGCTAATTGAACAAAAATTAGCTATACAGATACAAATGTACAAGACATTTTCAGCTACCTGCATGCTAATATATTAGAATAATCCTTGTTCCATAGCATTTGTGTGGCCTTTCTCAAGTAACAGTAAACACTAGCAAGTTAGTAATTCCGTCACTGTTTTTAGACAGAATTACTAGTTTGTTTTTCTCTTGTGTGAAATCACAGAAAACGAATAACATTCTTGATTGCATATAAATCAACTGTTCATATTCACTCTGCATCTCTAAATCAGGAGTGTTGTTAATAACCATTTATTTGTACATCCCAGGAACTTTATTTGAGATGTTTGCTTTCTTGTTTTCTGTGGTTTCTATCAAAATTCCAAAATGGTGGGTCGGTTGTGGCTTGTTGAATTGACACTAACATTTCACATTTGATATCTGTGGGAGAAAAGATTCTCAGTAGGAATTGTGCAGTTCGATCCCATCAGGTGAAATGTAGGACCACAACCAGGGTTGGACAGCTGTTATTTTATTGATCCCGGTAACCATGTGGAGGGTTGAAAGGGGAAAACAGTCAGTTGGGTCTGACATCCGATCGAGGCTCAGCTCAGGGACATCCCTGCCTCAATTTACATACATGCTTTTTGGCAGCAGATTATATGTATCACACCCACGTCATTATACATCACACAATACAAAGTTGCAGTAACAAGAAGCTAGGGTCACTGATGATCATTGGTGGTGACAGGATGTTTTCTTTGTGAACAGGGACTAGATCGTGCACACCAAGCCGTGTCCTTGACTCCTCGCCAATCTTCTGAGACCTCCCCTTACAATACAGAGCTCCTGCTTTAAAAAGTATGTTAGAAACACTTCTAGTACACCCAAGGGTTTTCTTCACTTTTTTTTGAACTGTTATAGGCACTTGTTGGTGATAAGACATTGGCATTTCGACTGATGGATGCAGAGATGTATACAAACATGAGTGTGCTCGCGCCTCTTACTCCAGTTATTGATCGTGGAATACAGCTTCATAAAATGATTCGTCTCATTACTCATGCACTTGGAGGAGAGAGCTATCTGAACTTCATGGGTAAGTAATCTTAGGAACAAGTCTTTTATTTTCTCATCTACAGAATGCTTGTCAGGGAAATAAAACTATCTGACATCCAGTATTTATGACAATGCTGACGTTTGGAGCGTGAATGCTTTTACAAAGACTTAGTACAAAAGGTAATATACATTGTTTTTCTGCCTGTAAGATGTACTATAAGACAAGAACGTAAAATCAGTGTGGTTCTTAATTGTAACAGAAATAATTTAAATATGTGGTAAGCTCTGTTTCAGGTTACCCTGATTTACAACCCGGACTAGTACTTTAATTGTTGTTCTGAAAGTTTGTCAGGTGGTAAGCCTTGCCTTACACAGCTGAGTTGTCTTTCATCTCTGTTCTTCTAGTTTCCTAAACTTTCAGTGTAGCAGTGAATTTACTAAAGATAGGTCTGTGCTTATTTCAGTTGTTAATTGTCATGAAGTAATCCAGAATCACTGGAATTAGAGAATTAGCGAAGAGCTTGAATTAGTGAAGAGCAAGGGCTTAGTGGGGTGGGCAAGGACAAATCATAGAGATAGGAGGCACATCGTGTTATCGAAGCTGGGAAATAGTAAGAGTCACCAATACTTTTTTTTTTTGTTCATATGCTGTAAAATACAACTGTTGCATTGCTTCTTAAGCACTATTGCTACAATAACATCTAATAGTTAATTTCATTTAATGGGAAAATTACAGTTCCATGTAGTCATCTTAAAAGTTGAATGTTGTTCTTCGTTTTATACAAAATGCTGAAGCTATTTGTGCTTGATGCTCTTTACCATATTCATGTTCCTTAATTTATTTGCAAAATAATCCTTACTTTATAGCAAAAAATCACAATTCTGTACTGTGGTGTGACGAGTTCTGTGTAGGAGTTGTGATAGTGTCATGGGGAAAAAAGGCTGAAAGCATGCTGTACATGACAATCTCATTTTTTGACAATGAAACACTTGAAAATTATAGAAGTTTTGGCTTAATATTGCTTTCAACTTCTATTGTGAAATGTTCTATATTATCAAGTCAAAGGGGATTGTTGGATGTATATTGCCCTTCTTCCCTGATATTATATTTAAAAATATGTTTTTCTAATTAAAAAATTGGAGAACATTACGAAGGCAATGGTGGCATTTGATTTAAGCTTGTCTGTACTGATACATGTTTTCTTCGTTGGTATTAGAAAAACACTCAAAAAATACCATGTTTGTGGGTATGATTGAGCAATTAATATTGTGTATCCTTCAGTACTGCAAATTTTTCAGTAACTACATTATAGTTTGCTATATATAAAAGGTGAAAAGATTGTAATAAATCTTGGAGAAGAAAAAATATATATAGATTCAGGATGCTTGCAATGTGGTGAACTTCAAATACATGTTGTAGCATGCTATCTAGTTAAGCAAATACAGTGACAAATGATTTCTTTAAATTTCTTTTAACTTTCAGTTTTGAGCAAATGCCAAGGGTGAGGAAGAGAAGCAGGGTGGTGGGAGGAGTGGAAATCTTTCACAACACCTGGAGAAGGCACTCCAGGTGCCTCTGCTTCCCTAAGTTCTTCCATAAATGTCTTGTGCCTTCTTTTTCTGAAAACAAAGACACCAAAGCAATATCCTGCTTTCTCAATGCTTTGCTCTCCTTAAGGGAAAAAACACATCTAAAAAGTGTTGTATCAGGAGTGGAAATCTATCTTCTCAAATGTATCCTGGAATTTCTCTTTGAAGATCTGGAATAGTATTTAATTACACCCGTGTTGAAGTATCATTTGTACTCCTTATGTGCAAACAGATTCCTGTTGAGAGAAGTTGTGCCCTGTTGAATACTGGACACTCATTGTGGCTTTCTGACATCTTTCTCACTTTTCACGCTAGTCAGTTCTCTGTTCTTCTTACAGGTATCCATAAGAAACCACTGCAAAAATCCTGGAAGTTGTTATTCTTATTTTTCATGTTTCTGGATGTTTCATTTTCACTTAAAGCTTTTATTTTCACTTCCAATTGTTTATATCCCAGTGTAGGCAATCAATGATGTATGCAAACTTAAATGTGAATAGGAAAGTTTTGTCATTTCAGTAAATTGCTTCCCTTGTAACACAAACCATTGGGAGCATTCTTTCCTCCTGTCTGTATTCCAGTTTTCTGTGCAGCTTTGCAAGTAATCTCTGGGGCTTCGTGTGCCCATCTGGCATGGAAGACTTAACCTAGAAAGGGAAAAACTCCATATGCTTGGCTGAAAATGAGCATGACAATGATAAACGTCCTGCTGTAGCAGAACATTCTGGAAGGCTAGTTTGTTTAATAGTAAAAAAAAAGTAGCAATTTTTTTTTGAAATTTGTGTTATGTGTAAATGCTCTGCTTTCAAAGCAGGTAGGGAGCAACAATCATAATGCAACTGTAGTTTGTTCAATGCAAGTCCTGTTTTAGACAGATATTTTAATACTGAGACTGGCCAGTACTGGTCAGAGGATGTCATGACTTTAGGAAATCACAAAAATTTCAAGTTCTTCCGCACAATGCTTTACTAGGGTCTCGGATGATGTTTCTTTAAGGGTTTCCTCCTCTACAGCTAAGCTTCCATGAAGATGTTGATGTAGATAATACACGTTTGATTGTATGAACTTAAATATCACTTAAGGAGGAAGTCCCAAACATTTCACAGTGTGTGCTTATATTAAATAGTTGAATTGATTTTATTATTGGAAATAATAGGGGAAAAACTCTCTTTGTACTCAAGTACCTTTTTGTAATTGTAGTGATATTGAAATTGGGGAGTATAGTGATAAGACGAGGGGTAAAGGCTTCAAGCTGAAAAAGGGCAGATTTAGATTAGATACTGGGTAGAAATTCTTCATGATGAAGGTGGTGAGGCACTGGAAGAGGTTGCTCAGAGAAGCTGTGGATGCCCCATCCCTGGAGATGTTCAAGGCCAGGCTGGATGAGGCTTTGAACAACCTGGTCTAGTGGAAGGTGTCCCTGCCCACGGCATGGGTTTTGGAATTTGATTATCTTTAAGGTCCCCTCCAACCCAAACTATTCTGTGAATTTCAGCCCCACAAATTAACAGAAAGGCTTAAGATTTGAGTGTACTTCCTTAATTGCAAAACAAGGAGTAGTGATGTTGTTATGAGACTTCTAGAATACTAGAGGCATTTTCTGATCTCACCTTGAAAATAAAGCAACCACGGGACAGTGTTTAACTTCAGTGTAACAACTCTCACGTATTTCCTGGAAATAATAATTGAACTTCCCACTACGAAACTGTTCTTTCTGTACATCTCTTCATTTTCCATCTTGCCCCTGAAGAAAAGCTGTAGAGAACTGTAATTGTTCCTTTCCTTGAAATGTTTTTTTTCTGTTATCTTGCTCGTTGCCTCTGTCCTGCACTTTAGGGAGACCCTGCAGGATATGTGAAAGAGCTGCACCAGTTGTTCTATGTACTTCTTTACATCTTCTCTCCCTACCTTGCAAGATACAGCTGTTTGTTTATCTAGGTTTAACAAGCAAGGTAGCTGCTTTGTTGCCTAGAATAGGCATAAGGTCCAGCGCAAGGGGCCTTAAATAGTATTTTTAGGTACTTGGGATCCTTCACAGCACAAATATGTACTGTTTTGTGCCACTGTAGAGTCTTGCTTTTCAGCTTGCTAACAATCACTTTCCTGCATCCTTCTTCATTTTAATTGGCTTAAACTCGAATATATTGATTTAAATGGAGATTAGTTCCTACATGAACCTCTAACACTATTTTTCATGACATTTCTATAGTAAAACAACTCTTAATTAGGACTCCAGAGACCAAGTCTCCCTCCCTGCAAAAGAACTTTTTTTGTGTAGATATAGAAGCTAGAAAATGATTTGCAGTAACTAGAACATTTTTTGCAATCATGAGCATTGACTGATGGTGTTATTGTTTGGGTTGACATTTGCCTCTGTTTCACTAACATCATCAAGTCTATCTGTTAAACTTCCCTTTCTCACTTGTTGGTTCATTTATACAGTACTTAATCTACTTTCTCTATACTTAGGGGTCTTTTTGGATGCACTAAACCATTTTTTTTCCTCTAATGTTTTCTCTCTCTGGCCTTAAAAATAAAATGCATCATCTATTCCTTTGAGTATTTTAGAGAGAGAAACTTTGGATTTTTTTCTTTTTTTTTAATACGGAAGGATTTTGTAACCAAAGTATTTGAAAATACGTTGACAAACAAGAACAGGAATGGTGCAGAACCTGTATCAGTAGCAGAAATATCGGGGTGGGAAATGTGCATACAATTTACTTTAAGAATTAAAGACTAGAGATTTGAAATAAAAATGATACAACATAACTTACACTATAAATGGGAATGTTACTTAAAACAGAAATGCTCTTTTTATTCTTACCTATTCCAGGTAAAAAGAACTTGTATCAGGAACAAGGATATTTAGCATAAACCTAACTGGGTTTTATTTTCATAGACATGTTGCAAGAAAATAACTTTTAATTTTACACTTTTTTTTGTTTTGTACACTTTCTTGTGTTTATTACTCCTGTGCACTGGTTACGGTGTGGCTTTTTAAACCATGATCTGAAAAAATGGCCTAGCAAGAGCAAATGCTTTTTAAACTAGCTCTCTTCAGTCAACTCATTTTGATAAACAACCTTGAAGTGATCAATTGATAGTGACTGTGGATTAGGATACATAGTTTGAAATCATCCTTCTTAATATGCTTACCTAGTATACCTGGCAAATGTCTTTTCTGTGCTGCCAGTTCTACCAGGTGCTTTAATTTCATAGCAGTCTGACAGAACAATTATCTTCATTTTAAGGTAGAAAACAAGAAGGGTTTAATGTGAAAGCTTTCCTACAGTTTGGCATAGGCTTCTAGTCCTGTAGTGGCAGACCTTGTACAACTTTGTTCTGTAGTACCCTGTATGCCCACACTCACAACTTGGAGCGGGCAGTGTCAGGGAGGAGAATCGAAATATATAGATTAGGCTTCATTAATTGCTTTGAGAGTCTCTTCCAGAA